TGTGTGTGTGCTGGTACCAGGGCTTGAACTCAGAGCCTAGGCACTATCCCTTAGCTTTTTCCATTCAAGGCTGATACTCCACCAGTTGAGCCACAGCTCTACTTCCTACTGGGGCTGATTTTGAACCTTGACCCTTAGATCTCATTCGTCCTCAGTAGCTGAGATTATAGGGGTGAGTCACAGCATCTCACTCTTTTTTTATTTAAAGACAGAATCTCCCTATGCAGCCCAGTCTATATTCCAGCTTCCTGCCTCAAGCTCTGGAGGCTGAGATTACAAATGGGTTATGAGCATATGACAACCAGGTTAAGCTCAGTCTCTTTTAATCTGCTCATCTTAATATAGTATCATATATTTCTCCTGTATTTCTACATGGACAATGTATAGAAACTTGAACAATCGCATCTTTCTACATAGGAAAAATGGACAGAAACTTAGAGGGTCATTATCACGACCCAAACACCCTAGGGAAGCTAGTGAAACTTTATTACTCACCATCGAATTCCGCTGGTCCAACACCTACTATAATTATTGACATTGGAAGTTTTGAGGCCTTTAAAATAATAACACAATTAGATATCAGTTAGGAACTTCAGTTTTTCAGAAAAGAGGAAAGAATTCCTATTTTTGTGTTATAATGTTATTATCTTTAAGTAATGATACAAAGAGTTTTATAGTCAACATGTAGCTGAGTACAATGTACCTTGATCAATGTCACCCCTTTTGATCATTCTCCCCCATCTCTCCCAACCCCATGCATCCTCTGTTTTCTAGGTCTATTTCTGTATAAACACATTGACCATTAGGACTGCATTCTGCCACCTTTCCTCAAATACCTTGAGTTTCGTTTGATATGTTCTCAAAGCTGTTCATAAACGTCGTTGTAAAAAGTTACCTTTAACTAGCTGGACAAAGGGGTTTCGATTCAACCTGTCAATCTATGAGTACAATGCATCTTGATCCATGTCCTCCCTTCCATCATTCTCCTCCATCTCCCCAGCCCTGCCACCCCTCCCCTTAAGTTACTTGCTTCCATTTTCACATGCGTACACTGAACATTATGGCTATATTTACCCACCCTTCCAGTCTCCAATTTTCTATCCCTCATCTCCTTAAATTCCACCCCTGCTAAGACAACACATATTCCAGCTTTCAGGTATTTATTTACTTGCTTATTTATTTATTTATTTTTGTGCTGCTCCTGGGGCTTGAACTCAGGACCTGGGCACTATTCCTGAGCTTTTCTTTTTTCCTCAAGGCTAGTAGTGTTCTACCATTTGAGCCACAGATCCCCTTCTAACTTTTTTTTGGTAGTTAATTGGAGATGAACGTCTCACAGACTTTCCTGCCTGGGCTGGCTTTGAACCACAATCCTCAGATCTCAGCCTCCTAGGTAGCTAGGTGTGAGCCACCAGTGCCAGGTATCTCACATATTCTAAATCTACTGTCCACTCATCCATTGAGGGGCATCTGGACTAGTTCCATAACTTGGCTATGGTGAATAGTACAGCAATGAACATGGATGCTCAAGGGACTTTACTGTATCCTGACTTGTAATATTCTGGGTAAATGCCAAGAATGTTATCACTAGATCATAATGTAGAGCTTTGAAATGTTCTCAGAAGTAGTTCAATGGATACATACTATAAAACTGCTGAAATATTTTGACTCTTCTCATATTGGTCACAGACAGTACTTAAGCATTTGTTCTTTTCAAGATTTTTGAGAAGCAGACCTACTCAAAAATATTAAACTATAGTTCATCAAAATTTACTAAGATAATGTAATCACTTAATCACAATCAAAAAAAAAAAGAACTTCGGGGAAGGGAGGGGGGGAGGGGATGGTAGGGGGAAAACAATGGAGGGGCTAACAATGTTCAAGAGGAAGTGTACTCATTACCTCACTCATGTAACTGTAACCCTCTGTATAGTATCTTTACAATAAAAAAAAAAAAAAGGAAAAAAAAAAAAACAAAAAAAAAAAAATATAAACTCCAATAAATGATCTTTAAAAAGCTTTTATAGGGGCTGGGAAGGTGCTCAGTGGTAGAGTGCTTACCTTGCACGCATGAGGCCCTGGGTTCGATTCCTCAGCACCACATAAGCAGTAAAAACTGGAAGTGGCACTGTGGCTCAAGTGGTAGAGTGCTACCCTTGAGCTGAAGAGCTAAGGTATAGCGCCCAGGCCCAGAGTTCAGGCTCCATGATCGACAACAACAACAACAAAAAGCTTTTATAAACATATTCAAGATTACATATAGAATAATAGATTACACTTTTTTCTTCTCCTACACAGTAGAATGCTGCGGATCATTCTTTAAGATTTATCTTGTCACATAAAATCAAGTTGAAAGTGATGGGCAGGTACCTTAGCTTGCTATGCTCAGCCCAAGCCTTCCTGAGCTGACTGTGAGCATCTTTGGTATATTCTCATTCCATAAATCTATCAGTTGTCAATGGGAGAAAACAGTAATAGATTCAGTGCCAGTCTCTGCCTCATTTCTATCCATGATGAGAAAATGGCATTTGCATACCAAATAAGTAAATTCCAATCAATGGTGTTTATAAAAGTTATTTCAGTTTTATGTATTAGTGGAGCCCTGAAATGGAGGAGGAGACTAAATATTTGATGTTGTAATATGTTTTTCCCTTATGGTATCACTTAAATTACATTCTTACCTTAAATAATTAAACAATAAGAATGGGAAGCACCCTAGAAAAGCCTATCTCAGTTCTGAGTAGATTATGAGAAACTTTTCTACAGTGGGTGATGTCCTGTTAATTAAGCCTAAATTATTAATGCCATATACTTAAGGGCAAACTCATGGCATTGGCCAAAAAAGAAATTGAGACAAATGCAACACACTGTTAAAATCAAATAAACAACCAGGTGCCAGTGGCTCACATCTGTCATCCTAGTTACTCAGGAGACTGAGATCAAAGGATCAAAGTTCAAAGCCAACCTAGGTAGAAAAGTCCACAAGACTTTTTTTTTTGCGGGGGGAGGGTCTGGTCGTGGGGCCTGAACTCTGGGCCTGGGTGCTGTCCCTCAGCTCTTCAGCTCAAGGCTAACACACTACCACTTGAGCCACAGTGCCACTTCTGGCTTTTTTCTTTTTGCTTATGTGGCGCTGAGGAATCGAACCCAGGGCCTCGAGCATTCAAGGCAAGCGCTCTACTACTAGAGCCACCTTCCCAGCCCCGCCACAAGACTTTTATGTATAATTAACCACCCAAAACCCAGAAGTAGAGTTGTGGCTCAAGTGGTAGAACACCAGTCTTTAGCAAAAAGCCAAGTGAGACCACAAGGGCCTGAGTTCAAGCCCCAATACCAGCACAATTTTTTTAAAGAACCAATTAAACATTTAAAGAAACATGTAAGCCTTTATAGCCCCCTTCTTTTATATGCTTAGTTTAAAAAAATCTATACTATCCTCTGTACATCATCTTTATAATAACAAAAATTGAAACATCTATAAAATGTATTCATCTTTTTATTTTCCTCCATATGTAACTCCTTTTTCTCACATCGAATAGCTAATTATATTTTTCTGTATTATTAAAATGTATGAGACTCAATATGCCCTTCATTTATGTAACTTTTGTATGTATGTACGTGTGTGTGTGTGTGTGTGTGTGTTGGTCTCTAGGCTGGCAATCAGGGGTTGGGCGCTGTTTCTGAGCTTCTTTTGCTCAAGGATAGTGCTCTACCACTTGAGCCACAGCTATACTTTGGGCTTTTTTGGTGGCTTGTTAGAGATAACAGTCTCATGGATTTTCCTGCCTGTCTGGTTTCAAATCATTATCCTCAGATCTCAGCCTCCCTTAGTGGTTAGGAGGCGTGAGCTGCCAGCGCCTGGCTGTGAACACACAACTAAGCATTCTAAGGAACAGGGTGGTTCTGAAATCAAATCTACTTCCTTTTCAATTCTATAGAAATTGGAATTAGCCACTAGAGTTCTCGAAAAACTGGAATGTGAACAATGGAAAATAATGATCTCTGTGAAGTCAAAAAATAGTATTCAAGTTGATCAGACCAATCAGTGCAAAACAAATACATGCATGCACAGAAAGGTGATGCTGCCTTTTCTGTCTGTTGTCTCTGTCTGTCTGTCTCTCACCTCATTCATTAATGTAACAGAAGTAGCACCTGTCTAGATAAGGTTAAGAATTCAATCTGCAGCAAACGTGTAAGCATTTACTTTCTCTATTAAGTCACCTGTGCGCCCTCACTGAACTTGGCCATGACATCAGAGGCTGACCTTCCCTGATACTTTATTAGATGAGTCACTGTGTTCCCCTGCTGGAAGCTTCTAGCAAGCTCCCAAAGTCTACCACCTCCAGCCACCTAAAACACATCCTCTTCTCATCCAAGTGGCCCCATCCTGTCCATTGCTCAGCCCACAACCTCAGAGCCCCAACTTACATTCACTATGGATTCCTTTGTTTGAGCCATATCTGAGATAACGCCATCGGTGACAATCAAGAGGACAAAGTACTGGGACCCATCCTTCACAGAAGATGCGTACCTGCAAGCAGGGAACAGGGGAGAAGTAGCACAGCAAAGGCAAGAGCACATCTCCACAGGCGGAGGCTAAATCACAATCTAGAAGGGGCAACCAATGTATTAATCTGGGGAAAACACTTAAACATATGATAGAAGCCTATAGTATGCACACTTAACTACATATATTTTCCCTGCAATCAAATACTCATTTAGCCATGATGTTAACGCTTCCCAGAACACAGAATTATTGGCTACCTCCTTAGTTTCTTTACTAAAATTCACCAGGAATGAAGGTTTGTGTAGCACCAAAGACGAACTGGACATAGGTTTTGAAATGGAGTTATTCTAACTGAGCCACACATCCTGTCAATAAATTGTCATAAAATTCCAATAGAGGGCTGGGAAGGTGGCTCAGTGGTAGAGCGCTTGCCTTGCATGCTCGAGGCCCTGGGTTCGATTCCTCAGCACCACATAAGCAAAAAGAAAAAAGCTGGAAGTGGCGCTGTGGCTCAAGTGGTAGAGCGCTAGCCTTGGGTTGAGGACTGAGGGACAGTGCCCAGGCCCAGAGTTCAGACCCCACGACCGGACCCAAAAAAAAAAAAAAGAAAAAAAATTCCAATAGATTACAGTGTATTTATAATAAATTGCAATGTATTTGTAGTAAGTGGCAATTATGATACATTAAGATAAATATCTGAACATTAATTTTCTATCTTGAAAACGGAGATAAGAACCTATCTTTAGTTTTTGCATAAATTAATAGGTAAATCGCATTTCTGACATTCAAGAGTAGTCTTCAGGTGGAAGCAATAATCCAAAGTATGTTTGTTTGGAACTATATGTACAGAGGTAATGATTATACACTTTCATGAATGTATTAATGTCAAGGAAATGTACACTTTAAAATTATTCTTTTGAAATATAGACATTTCAACTCACTAACAAAAAAGTGCAATACAACTGACTGCCAATGGCTCAAACATGTAATTCTAGCTACTCAGGAGGCTGAGAACTATATAATAATGTTTTGAAACAGGCCTGGACAGAAAAGTCAGTGAGACTCCATCTCCAAAATTAACCAGCAAAGAGCCATCCTGGGGGCATGGCTCAAGTGGTAGAGCACCAGATGTAAGCAAGAGAGCCGAGTAAGGCAACAAGGCCCTAAGTGCAAGCTCTAGTACTAAGACAAAAATCTATATAATACAAAAAATGCTTTTTTGACACATCCACAGTTTAAGTTCTTTTTTTAAATTATAAATGCGAAACACAGAGGGGTTATAGTGACATAAGTCAGGCAATGAGTGCATTTCTTTTTGAACAGTGTCACCTATTCCCTCATTTTCTCCAGTTTCTCCCTCCTAACCCCCCCTGTAATTGGATGAGAGGCTGAAGCCAGCTTGGACTCATCTCCAAATAACCACCACAAAGCTGAAAGTAGACCTGTGGCTCAAGTTGCAGCTTTGAACACAAAACAAGCTCAGGGACTGCACCCCGCCTCCCCCCCCCAACAAAATAAAAAAAAATAACAAACATGGAATTGATTTTAAAATGCAAGGGAATTATAAATTATGTATATTATAATTTATGTATAAAATAATAAAAATTTTATGGCTTAAAGAAAACGTCTGTCAGAATTCTCACCAAACATTAGTCAATATTTTACAGGAGGATTTTATGAAGATGTTACCATTGGTTATATTTCTTGTGGTCCTACCTTATGCTACATTCTAGGTATATAAAATTCTGAGTTTTCAATAAAAAAAAGTTGAATGTTTTATGACTGGAAATGGAAGTCATGTTCAATGGTAAGTGAGCTTTATGGAACTCTTAGTAGATGGGTGATTAAACAATAAGTTCTTGCCCTATGTCTCTAAATAATTACCAACTAGATGATAGTAAATTTAGATTCAAGAAGAATCCATTAACTAGCTAATTAATGTCTCCCAACATGGTAGGTCCAATGGAAGCCTATTCGAATAGACTGGCCAATACAGCATACAATCTCAAAACACAAGTTAGGTCTTGGACAACAGCTCTAACAATCCTGAAAAATCAAAATATGTGCAACATTCTTAGGTACAATAGAAACCAGTAAGCACTCATGCCACTAATAAAGTGGTGATGGAGAATATGCATGTTCATTCATACCCAGGAGAGTACACTAGAGTGTATACCCCAAAAATACCCCCATAGAATTGAGCAACTGATTCTATTGGTTGTGGGGCTTGAACTCTGGGTCTAGATGCTGTTCCTGAGCTCTTCAGCTCAAGGCTAGTGCTCTACCACTTTCAGCCACAGCTCCACTTCCAGTTTTCTAGTGGTTAACCGGAGATAAGAGTCTTATGGGCTTTTCTGTCTGGGCTGGCTTCAAACCTGAATCTTTAGATCTCCAAGTTGCTAGGATTTTAGGTTTGAGCCAGCAGCACCCAGCTCCTACTTTTTCCTTTTATTACTTAAAGAAGAGTCTGACAATTTCCCTCAGGAATTCAATTTTTGATATTTTCTAAAAGGAATGTATTACTGATATGATTCAGTCACACAGTTTTTAACATTGTATTGTTAAAAATGGGAAAATCAGAATAAAACCCAACATTAATTGAGAATCTTTTCTTTTTGTCTGCCACTGGGACTCTAACTCAGTACCTACACTTCTGCTCACTGGCTGGCACTCTACCACCTGAGCCACACCTCCAACCTCTGAGTGTCTATCATTTAAAGTCACATAACAAGGGGCAAATGATTTCCCTTTGGTTCAAGAGAACCAGAGACTATTAATACATTTGTATTATAACAAGTCTCAGACAAAAACTGCAGCATTCACCCCAGGAAACATGGAATAAGCGTGGTCTATCTTAAAAATCTACAGGAATTTTACATTTTATTTATTTTTTATGTGCTGGTATTGGGACTTAAACTGAGTTTTTTCACTCAAGGCTGGTATTCTACCACTTGAGCCACAGCTACACTTCAAGCTTTTTGATAATTAATTGGAGATAAGAGTCTGATGAACTTTCCTGCCTGGGCTGGCTTTGAATGGATCCTCAGATCTTAGCCTCCTGAGTAGCTAGGATTACAGGTGTGAGCCACCAATGTCTGGCTAGTTAGTGAAATTTTAACAGAGTATTATCAACATACTAATAAATGTATTATTAAGTTCATATCTGAAAACTCCTGTCTTTTTCCCTCCCTCCCTCCTTCCGTCTCCTCCTCCCTTCCTTCTTTTCCTTCCTTTCTCTTTCATTCCTTCTCTATCCTTTCTCTTTTTCTTTCTTTTTTTCTTTCTTTCTTCCTTCCTTCCTTTCTTTCTCTCTTTCTTTCTCTGTCTCTGTCTCTCTTTCTCTTCCTTCCCCTCCCCCCTCTCATTCTTTTGCTGATTCTGCATTTGAACTCAAGGCCTGGGCACTATCCCTTAGCTTTTTCTCTCAAAGCTAGCACTCTACCACTGGAGCCTCAGCTCCACTTCTGGATGTTTTGCTGGTTAATTAGAGATAAGAGTCTCATAGACTTTGCTGCCCAGCTTGGTAGCAAACTACCAACTGTGATCCTCATATCTCAATGTCTGGAGAAGCTAGGATTACAAGCTATTGTTATAGGACCTAAACTTCCTTAGTTATCTGAAAACAAGGCAGAGTTCTACAGGATTTGCAGCTGGCTGAAATCAAAATTTAAGAGATTGAAAAATAATGTCTGATTCATTGAGGCATGGATGAGAAAACAAAATCCTAAGTAGATTGTTATGTTGTAGAACTTCCTTTAGAAATTGTAGTTGGAATGCTATGCAGTTACATTCTGATCACAGTACTATGTACTATTTACAGGGAGAGAGAGGTCTGGGAATTTATCAAATTAGCCATCATATTAATTTCAAAGAAGTTAAAAGAATGTGCCCCACATATCACAAGGATATTCAACTGAGTGTCTTAATGGAATTCAGCCTCATTACATTTATGCCTTGGGACACAGCATTAGACAGGCACAATTTACAAAGCTGAGTCACCATCAATCTCTTGTGTTTATCCTGATGGCATTTCAAAGAAGACATCTTCCTGGGTTGGAAAAGACAGGTCTTACTATCACACAAGCGTATGTTTCTTCACTAGACACATCTTTTTTTTTTTCCTTTTAATCTTTCTTTTTTGTACTGGCCCTGGGGCTTGAACGCAGGGCCTAGGTGCTGTCCCTAGCATTTTTGCTCAAGTCTAGCACTGTACCACTTGACATTTGAGCCACACCCTACTTCCAGCTATTTTGCTGGTGAATTGGAGATAAAGTCTTATCTTTCCTGCCTGTGATGTTTCCAGACAAACATCGCGAGGTCTTAGGGATTCATGGTCTTCCTTCACCTTCTTGAAAGGAAATTAGCAGGGACCAACTTTGATCCCTGAAGTCATGCTAGCAGTAATGGCATACTTTCAGTTATGTTTGGGACATAAGAATAAATATCTGTGCCCTCTCTGCTTACCTTGCTACGTGGTTGATGACAGGAGCAAAGTTTGTTGGACCATACAGCTGCACGGACTTCAGACTTCTGTAGTAAGCCTCCATGACACCCTCGATGCCGTCACAGTAGGGATTTTGAGGGTTGCCATTCTGGTGGAACATTACAGACCATAGAAAAATAAAATGTTAATTGACCATGATATTCAGCTGAAAAAAGAAATAGTACCAGTGATTCATATGGGCATGCCTACAGATACTTTGAAACAATGCTCTTAAAGATTTACAATAGTCAAAAACTAAATAAATTGGCCAACAATATTTTGCATTACATTGATCAGAATATGATGGCTTATAAAAATGCTGACTTTGCTGGGAGCCAGTGACTCATGCCCATAATCCCACTGAGGAGACTGGATCTTGGTTCAAAGCCAGCCAGGGCAGGCAGGAAAGTCTTTGGAGAGCCTTACCTCCAATGAACCACCAAAAGTCTGTCAGTAGAGATGTGATTCAAGTGGTAGAGTGCTAGCCTTGAGCCAAAAAGTGAAGGGAAAGGGAACTCAAGACCCGATAGTGGCACAAAGAAAGGGAAAAGAACCAGGTGTGGTAGCACATACCAGTAATCCCAGCTACTTGGGACAATAAGAGCAATCTCTTAGTCTAAGACAGATGGGCACTCAGTCATTGTTAGGTTAAAGAGCTATATAATATAAATAATATACACAGGACAGCTTACTACTTATGTATTGTATAATAGATTGTACAATGTTATTCCCTTTTGCATCTAGGACTAAAACCATGTACTATCTCCCACATTGGGGGTAAGAGATGGATATTTCTGGAAACAACTTCACCAGGTGGTTCTTGAGCTGAGTCTCTCATGAGATTGCTCACAAAATGTGGACATTTCTTGACCAGGCCGAGGGAGGAGTTCTAAAGAGACTCGCTTCTATGGCTGTGGAGAAAACTTGCTTCTTCCACCATCCTCCAGAATGAGTTACCTGAAAGCAATGCCCCAAGGCTTTCCAGAAGCTTCTCAGAGATTGCCTCCTATTACTTCTACTTCGTTTTCTAGGCATGACTCACTAGTATTAACCCAACCAAGGAGAGGGGAGTTAGGCTCTGTCTCTGCCAACAGGGAATGGAAACATTTTCTGTGACTAGATTTCCTAACAGTGTAGATGTAAATACATTTAAATATAGCAGCCAACCCAGCATGCATGCCTTCACCCAAGCAACCACAGCAACTGGTAGTTTATAATGTATTGAGTTCCACGTGGCAGGTTTTGTATTAAGGTAGTTGCATATAATAGGTGGCTTATAGAACAGTTCTAAGAGGGTAGCTAGTGCACTGTCATTGTTCTCTTTTCAGAAAAAGAGTCAAATGAGAGTGTAGACAGTTTGTCCAATATTGAGAAACCCCAGATTTGACTGAAGACCATCTGTCCAGAGACAAATCTCTTAACAACTCCCATGTCCTCACATTAGAAAATCTTTGATGTTCTTCATGGCTGGGGAGACCAGAGACTGAGGTAAATGGTATTAAAGACTTCAGTTTTATTTGTGAAAGAGGCATTTATAAAAAACTGGTGTGCTTTTTGTTCAAACATTTTCATTAGCTAATCCTCACAAAATGTTTTAGAACCTAAAAATAGTAACAGACCTCTTTCCATCAAATCACTGGTTAGATGAATGGTTTGAAATTAAAACATAAAAGATGTAACATTTTGCTGGGTGCCGATGGCTCAACAACTGTCAGCCTAGCTACTCAGGAGGCTGAGATTTGAGGATCACAGTTCAAAGCCAGCTTTGAACAGGAAACATCTTGAGATGCTTTACCCACCCAAAAGCCAGAAGTGGAGCTCTGGCTCAAGTGGTAGAGCACCAGCCTTGAAGAAAAATGCTAAAGGACAACACCCAGGCCCTGAGTGCAGGCCCAGTGTACACACACACACACACACACACAGTATAGCACCAAATGGCCAGTGGCAAGTTTTGATATTAATCTGAGCTGAGCAATTTAACCTTCCTTTAAATAAGATTTTATGGTGTACTTTTCCCTAGACAATGTATGAAGCTAATTAAAACTAAAACTCATTACTGATTTTGGTCACATAAAATGTACTTTATATTGGTCTTGGGGGAGCCATTACAAACTAGGATAGTTCAGAACTACTTTTCAATCAGTATTTTTTTTTAGCATTTTTGCCTAGGGAGGTTTAGAATTTTATGAAAATATTTCCTCTATTGCTCAGGATTTGAAATCACAAGGTTACTTTTTTATGATTTGGTCATAAAAAGACAATTGCTGGATATTCTATTTGTTGTTATGGATGCTTAAGTGTAAATTTCTAGTTTATTTTATTATTTTATTGTCCTGGTTCTGGGGTTTGAACTCAAGTTAGTACTTCCCTTGATAGCTTGGGTGGTGCTCTCCCATTTGAGCCATGCCTCCAGCCCTGATTTTTGTTAGTTAAATGGAGATAAGATTCTCAAGGGTTTTTCTGTCTTGGCTGACTTCAAACCACAATTTTCCCAAGTCTCCTGAGTAGCTGGGATTACAGGCAGCAGCAGTGAGCCACTGACATCTGATCTAAAGCCCTAATTTCTTTTTTTTAAATTTAATTTAATTTGTGAACATACTGTACAGAGGGGTTACAATTAC